GGGGACAAGAGAGCCCAATGGGACAGGCAGTAAGACAGCCTCTGAAGCATCCCACTGATGTTGGTTTCAGCAACAACTTCAAGAGGTAATTGTTTTACCCATCTCACTGATGAGAAAACTGAGGCTCACAGAATCCAATTCAGTTCTAATCACTGTCTTTTTCTTTGAGAAAATTAATTGGAACATTTTGTATGGAAAAGCATCCAACAAACATATATACATTTAAATTATAACTATATATATAACTATAATATATATATATATACATTTAAACTAAAATAACTACTTTAACTATAACATGTATACAATTTAACTGCAATTATATATACATTTTTAATTTTAATTATCTGTTTTCCATAGTATAAGTGATTGCTCTTATACCACTATCATCAAAAGTCATGTATTGCTTTAAAAAGGAAAGTTGCTTTGGTTTCTTAGACTACCAGTATTCTTTCTAGTAGAGTAGAAAAGTTCTAAGCATGTTTATGGAAACAAAGATTGATATTTTTAAAACTTGATTAATCTTATAAAATTACATAATAAAAGCTCTTGGAGTGTCTGTTAAGACTTAGTTTCATAGTTTCCCTCCCGGTTGTGCTGCTAGGAAAAGAAAAAACAAATGTTGTGAGGACTCCACTGAAAATAAAACTCGTAGCCTGAGAGCTATAATATTCCCTATGCCCCTGAATCGCGTGGAAAGCAAATATTTGAACTGAATGTGTTTATTGATGTTTTCACCTTTTATCAAGAGGTTCAAGTGTTTCTGTGCTTCTAAAATCCTAAAAGATCCAATCGATTACAGAGAAGTACGTAATCAATGATGGAGATGCTTTATTCACAAAATGCTGAGAACTGACTGAATGAGGGAGGGGAATCTTTCGGAATTGTGTCTAAGGAGCTGAAATACAGTACATGGGATCATTTAAATGGCACCACCTCAAAATCAAAATAACCCATTGTAAGGCAACAGACTGCGTCCATCTTCTGTCTACACAATTTCAAACCACAAATTTGAGTAACTTATTTCATTGAATTTACTTCATATTAAAGTAGTTTCCCAAAATAATTGAAACTCCAAATAATAGAAAGAAATCTTGGCCTGGATCTTTCAGACAGGGAAGATAAGTTAGAAATAAACAAGCAAACAAAAATCTTGCATTTGTCCATCACAGATAAATGCTCTTTTATTTCCTTTAGAAAATGTATTTTCTTTAGGCTACGCACATTTGACTTTAATCATCTGGCTAGAAAGACCAACTGGGCCAAGGTGAGTATTTATTAAAATATAAATTAAGCTTGCCTAGAAGAAAAAAAATGTGGAGAAAAATATTAAAAGCAAAGGAAAAGCTGGGTAGCGGATTACTAATTTGGTGCAAAACAGGCTTTCTTTCGAACTTGTCACTCCCACCCACCAAGATGCCACCACGGAACCTGGTGCTATATTGAACTGCTCTCTCTTCACCTTTTCTGTTTAATACGTTCACAGTAAACTGATTCTCTCTCCGAAATGCCTGTCTGGTTTAAAGCCTAATTTAAATTTTCCAAATGGAACACCTTACTGCTTTTTCTGCATCACCACCGAAAGCTTCCACAGAGGTCTTTCTGCCAAAATCCCTTGCTTTTCAGATCTGCAGACCTAGAGCTGTCAGATTTCTCATCACCAAATGCCACTTTCATGATCGCTGTTTCCTCTTCACTATTCATATTCTTTGCTGTATTTATATTAAGTTCAAAATCCCTTTTCCAAAACTATATGTTCACACCTGTAATTCCAGCACTCTGGGAGGCTGAGGCAGAACGATCATAAGTTGGAGCCCAGCCTGGGCATCTTAGAGGCTTGTAGAGACTTTATGTCAAAATAAAACAGAATTTAAAAGGGGACAGGGATGCAGCTCAGTGAGAAGGCTATAGGTTTAATCCCCAGTACAGCAAAAGAAAAAGAAAAATAATCCCTCACCTAGGAATCTCTCTCTCTCTCTCTCTCTCTCTCTCTCTCTCTCTCTCTCTCTCTCTCTCACACACACACACACACACACACACACACACCATCAACCCCAATATTACTTTTACTACTCTCTGAAATACTTCATTCACTTCATTTAACCAACTCACTTCATTCTATTATTATTATTTTATTTTTGTACCAGGGATCGAACTCAGGTCCTTGTGCTTGCAAGGCAGGCAGTGGAACCACTGAGCTAAATCCTGGCACACTTCATCCCATTAAAAACCTCCCCCTTATTTATTCCTCTCTCTGACCCCTCTCAGACCCATACCATTTTCATTCCTGCCACTGTATCTTATCTTTTGTATGTGGAGATATTTTTTTACTATTTTTCGCATTATCTCCATCTTTCCAGAGCCTTCTCACATGCTTCCTCTTCCATGAAGTCTTCTCTTATCCTACTAGCCCCATAATTTTCCTTCTTTTCTTAAATTAAGAATATCTTAAATTTCTCTGGTGTGAAAAACTATAATAGTACATAAGATCCTAATGAGATAACTGACAATGTGAAATAGGAAGAAAAGGGCTAAAGGTGTAGGGGAAGTGGGAAGGGTAGGGGAAAGGAAATAAGGGAAAAGAAAAAAATATGAGAAAACAAAAAAATGGAAATGAAGTATTTGTAAATAGGGAAGGGAGGAGGGGGTGAAAGGAGGGCAGGGTATGGGAAAAAATGAGAACCAAGACCTGGCATGTAAAGGCACAAGATCCCAATGATGAATGTAACTGTACTGTACACCTAAAATGTACCAATAAAATTAAGATTACAGAGCATGTTACTGTTAATCCAAGTTACCTCGTGGGCCTCACTGAGGTGCTACTGGAGTCTGTTACTGTGGGCCCTTGGCACATCCTGCATTCCTGGATGCTGACAACAATGTCACGGTGACAACTCTGAATGGTTTGATTACCAAATGCTCTGAAAAGTCTCTCAGACAAGTTATTATGCCATACACATACTGGTTCAACAAATAATCCTATTTTGATAGCAAATATATAGTTTAAGAACAAATCTATGGCTCCTTCATAGCTGTCAGGATTTTTAACAAACTAGCAAAGAAATAATTGGTGCCCGGGTGAGAAGCACCACCCCACTGCAGGTGTCTTTCTGAGGAATTTTCATTGGCCCCTCACACTGGTCCTGAGTACTGCCATTGATCTTCTTTGATAGATAAAGAAGCCAAGGCTCAGAAAGCTCTGATTATCCACGGTCAGACAGCTTGATTGGAGCCCTGGCATTTTAAGCTTGGGGTTCTCTGAAGCCAAATCTTTGCCCTTTTCTTCTATTACATGGCCTCAATAGACAGCTTATGTATAATAGCTTTGAAAGAATAGGGCAAACATGTAACATAATTAGCAATTTAAAGAACATTATTAAGGGTGATAGGTGCTAATGACTATAATTGAAGGAGAGGACATTAGACTAGACAAATAATTTTTAGAAATTATATCAAGAATACAAATGGGAGTCTAAGGAGTAAATTCACTCACTAACCTTCCTTGCTGCAGATATTAAGTGATGCTTGGTCTCTAATTGAATGGTACATTCTTTATTCTCTCATTGTATTTGTTAATGTGTGTCTTGGCAGATGGTCAGCAGATTTCTGTATAATTCCATTAATCAAGTTTTGGGTAATAGATGGCTAAATATACCTCATATTGTGTAGCACTGCTAGATCCAAAGCAATAGGAATCTAAGTAAGAGCCAGTTATAGCTGCTTAGGTCTTCCCTTCTGTCATCTGGGTGTCTGCAAGTATCACATTGTCATGTAAAATATTGCATGTGTTTCTTTTTGGTTAGAGTTCATTATTTATTACATGCATATCTAAAACATCTTCATTTTAGTAGTCTATTCAAATGTGTGTCCAAATATATCTCATTACAATTCTTCATTTATCAGCTATCTAGAGTTTCGGAAGTAAGAGTGTGAATGACCCAAATGCATACTTTAAACAGTACACTCAGGTTACACTAATGCACATACAATAAGCTGTATTTACTGCTGGAAAAGAGTAAGAGATAAAGAGAAAATTCAAGCCATTTGAAAGAAATAAGATTGTTGATTTCAAGTTTTCTCTTTAAACTAGGTGAATAAATGTTTCCTGTTTATCATGTTCAACAAAGAAGGAAAGGGAACTGAAAACCAAGTTCATAAGTTAGCTTAGAGCAATAGTGTAAATACAGATAAGTGTATACATGATATAAGAGCACTTTATTCTTATACTATCTTAAAATAATATTTACGGTAAAAAAGTTGTACTTCATTCACTAACAAAACCATAATTTAGCCACAACTTTATGGGCATTCAGGTATCTGACAACATGAAGAAATGTTTAGTTATGCTTATCTGGCAAAAGAGACATTTAAAAATTAACCATATTTTAGAGCAAAGTGAATTTGATGTGGACTCCTTGATTAGAGCACTTACCAAGCACAGTGCATTTTTAGCTTTTGCATGCTGGGTAGGTAGCTAAAGGACAGAGTGAGAGAGTCTTCCCCAAAAAGGATGAACAAAAATATGTCCAGGTGCATCTTTCAAATGAGTGTCTCAGTTGTGATAACTATAGGACAGCAGGAAAAGTTTGATTATTTATTTTCACACTTTCCTTTGGTAACCTGTTGTGCAACATGGTTCTCAAAGATAATCCTGAGCCAATGCCATGGGATTTTTTTCTATGCAGAATTCAGAAGTAGTCTCAGTGTTCTGATAACAGTGTCAGAGAGGCGCAAACATTTTAAAGGTGGATTTTTGGAGATTCTGTTTACACTCCTCTCTTAACAGCACCTGTGGAGGTACTATCAAATTTCCCCACCTATTTTTAGGTCCAGTTGTTTTAGCGATGGATTTTATATGTAAGGCAGAAGCTTAGCTACAACACATTTGCATGATTATATTTTGGTTTTGCCATCAGCTAAGTAGGACAAAGTTGATCCTATCTCACAAGGAACTCTATTTCACATTTCCTCTATTGACTCAGAGGTTCTCCTCTGCTTACCTGCTTCCTTGAAGACACAGTGCTGTTGAAACATCTGTTAGAGGTATTTAAGTTCACATTCTTGTTCTGATGGGTTGAGTTGTTTTTCAGCGTCTTACAGTTTTCTTTAGGGTCTGAAGGAATGGGATTTAAGAAGAGGATTCTAGCTATGAATCCATAGAGGACAGTGGCCAGGATCATTGGCACAACATAAAACACACCGAAGTCCATTAAATAAATAGGTGAGTAGTAATTCCTGGAGATCTTGTAGCCACAAGACACCACAGTAGCATCTTTGTAGGTGCTAATGTTGAGATCCAGCAGGAAGAACCAGAGCATACAGTAAATGGATGTGAAAGCCCAGACAAAGATGATGATCTTTTTGGCTCTGGAAAATGTGCAGAGAAACTGGGCTTTGATGGGGTGACAGATTGCTATGTACCTTTCAATGGTAAAGGCTGTTATTGAACAAGAGGATGCATTAATTCCCAAGTACTGAAGGTAAGTAATGCAGAGGCAGCCAACATAGCCATAGACCCAGGAACCGTAGATGCTGTCTGTAATGTTGGGGAGGCCCGCAGCCACCAGGACCATAAGATCGGCCACTGCCAGACTCACCAGGTAGCAGTTTGTGGGTGTCCTCATGTGCTTGGTTCTCAGGACCACCAAGACTACCATGATGTTGCCCACAATGCCTAGACCACAAATAATGAGTACAAGCAAGATGGTGACCACTTGATATTCAAGGGTCATCACTGCTCGAGGCTGGAGCTGGGTTTGGTTCAGTTCACCGGCTGTCTCGTTTTCCATCCTTAGTGGTTGAAGTTTCTCTGCAATAGGGACTTCTTAAAACATCTTCTCTTCAGTGCCCACCTTGGTCGCGGCAGATCTGTTTTCTGTGAAAGATTGTGCACATGCTCACTCACAGTGCCACCATTCCCCATTAGGTCACAGGCACAGGTAACTCTCACTTCCTCTCCTTCTACTTCTGATTTTTTCCATAACATAAGACTCCTATGTACTTTGAAAACTATTTTTACTGAAACTCTAGTGTAGGATAGAGTAACTCTTTTGACTAGTTCTTCTTAAGGGAGAAAAATGCTTGAAAGAAACAGAAAAAGCTCCTTGTTTTGAAACAGTGCCTAACTGAAAAAATTAAATAACATGTGCTAGCTAAAAAAAATAAATAAATACAAAGAAACCTTTCAGATGCCCCAGAAAAGTGTAATAAAGAAAAAAAAAAAAAAAAAAGGAACCGGGGAAAAGGAAAGAGGCTCAAAAGTGTAAAAAAAAAAAAAAAAAAAAAAAAGGTACCGGGGAAAAGGCAAGAGGCTCAATGGTCAAGCTTCATAGGAATTTAGCTGTTGCTTCCTTTCTCTCAGAGATCTCTTCGGTACAAAATGCCAAGCTCTGGAGCCTACATTTTCCGTCCCTTCTATCCCCCATACCCAGCAAAAAGCAATTTGCTCTCTTACCTTATTGACTGTAGAGCTGCTTGCTTTTCTGGGCAGATGAAGTGGTAAGAGGTCCAAGTTTCCAACGCTGCAGAAAATCTCGCTATTCTGACAGGGAGGCCACTTAGCAGCGTTCAGTCTTCAGGACTGCAGTTCCTCTAAACCTCACAGCCCTTTTCAACTCTGACAGACCAGACAGCCGCAGCAGCAGTAGCAGCAGCAGCAGCAGCAGCAGCAGCAGCAGCAGCAGCAGCAACAGCAACGAGGCTGTCAAATCCTAGATCGTCCCCTAAGCAGAGCACACACGCGCGCTCGCTCTCTCCCTCACACAAACACACATCCACACATGCTCGCTCTCCGCACAAGTGCCAGTCAGCCCTGACTGATTCAGTCTTCTCCCTCTGAAGGATTCACTTTTAGTGAGTTGCAGATAAGGTCTCGGTGTGGAAGGCTGAAACCACAAGCGAGGGATCCGGGGGCAGTTGGTCTTGTGGTCCCTTCTAGTCCAAGTTTGGCAGGAACTCCAGGACCTGAGCTGTCCTGAGACACATTTTCACTCCTCGCCTAAAGGATTTTGAGGATAGCAAAACCTTCCCAGTCTAGGCACAGCCCTTGGAGCTTGGAATATCTGTGTGTGCTGAAATCACTTCCTTCTATACTGTGGAAACCCTGAGAATCTTCCTCTTGTTAGCCCGTAAAAGCAGCTCCCTCCTTTCATGCTATATGAATGGAAAGTGAGTTAAGATTGACAGGAAGCCATTTCTATGGTAATCTTCCAAGGATTATAAAATTATTATTTAAAATTACAGACTTGAGCTAAGAACATTAATTGAAACTTGCGCGTGATCTGTGAAGTTTGTTTTTCAACTGTGGTAGTCTAACTGATCGCCCTGGGTGTTTCCCCCCTTTTATGCATTCTGTGGGCAACCAGCCATGTGTGTGTATATATCACTCAGAAATGGTTTGTCTCAATGTTTTCCTAGATGGAAAAATCATCCAGTGGAGCTCTATTCCAGGGCCACTCTGGTACTATATATTTGAAATAAAATTTTGTAGCATTTTTTAGAAAAGTGCTCAACTTGATTTTTTAAAATTTGCCCATTGGCAAATCTATACTTTTTATGAAGCTCAAAAAATATGTCCCTCTTCTCTGGACAACAACAGAATACAACAGGTATTAGTGTTTGTCCACTTTTCTCTTATTAACTGACAATGGAGAAGAGTTCCCAGCCACATGTCCTGTATGATGAACTGACTCTCTATTTTAACAAGTTCAGTTGCTCTTCCATCTGAGTTAGACAGGAACATAGGGATATTAAAATATTCCCAGGATCAGAGAACAATGGATGTGGGTAAAGTTCTCAGTTATACTCAATGCCTTCTACCCTCTGAATCACTGAGGAATCCTTGAGTATCGATTTCTTCCTCCAAAGCAAGCCACACTCAGACTTCACATGCGTGTCCTTTGGACTCCAGGAGATAGGCTCAAGCATGAATTAAAATCATCACAATATTTTTCACCCAAGTCCCTGGAAAAACAATGGAGGGCACCAGGAAAATACAAATTTTTTTGATCCTGACTAGAACTTGTGTTTGGATTTTTGTTTGCTCCTCCAATTGGCTTAGCAGACTAGACAATGGATACCTATTTATCTCCCCTTCTCTGGTCTAGAGGATGGTGATTACTCTGAACAGTTTGATTCTCCTGAGAATGTTTTCTAAAGTGCAGGCATCACCTGCCTACTCCATCCCACTATCTCAACTCAGCATATCTCTTGCGAAGTCCTGCTCCATAAACCATATCCCTTCCCAGGCATTTTAATCAGGCCTCCTAAGTAGTATGGCCTAACTACTATACTACTTATCTTTACTCTAATGAAGATGAGAAGAATGAAACTCTACAATTGTGTTTGCTTTTTAAAACTTACCTCTGCTTCAAATTGCTACACTTGATCTTAGCCAAAAGGCCGAGAAGCGATTCTCTGCTTCAAATTGGATGAACATTCTTTACTCTTCTACTCAATCAATTCTGTCTCTGTTATTTTAATGAGCAATTGTTAATTAACTACTATGTGCCAGGCAGCTAGCACACAAATTTTTGTTTCCCCCTTCAAGTAGATGATAGTGTATTGGGAGAAGCAGACATACAGTGGCAGTAAGATATGCACTAAAAAAATCACACATTCAGGAGATTTTGTCATGAAGGAAAAGTACTTGAGGGAGGCAGACAGTGGACTAAGGGACCAGGGAAGGTTTCTAAGGCAAAATAATATCTGAGAACAGTCTTGAAATAAGCCTAGCTCTCTTTGGACAGGTGGGGAGAGTGAAAACATTCTGATTAGAGGTGATAAGAAACACAAAGGCTGAGCTGTAGCAAAAGGCAAAGATTTGGGGTCTAGGGAGTGATTTTATGACCTTGTTTGGCTGTGAGGAGTGAGCTGTGATGGAAATGCTATCTGGTACCTACCGGGAGGCTCTCCCCCATGCTGTGACTCATGCTTTCCTTGGCTGCTCCTTCTCCCCTTTAGCCTGTTCTTCTGTCTGCTCTGGAGAGACCACACTTCTGATTTTACCTCCCCTGACTTGTCTGCTCTGTCGTCCTGCATGACCGCAAGCAACTTCATGCTCTGTGTGAAGTTATATTTTCTAAGTAACTGTGATTTCTTAAAGTGGGTTTTTTTGCTTCTAAATCTCTCTTTTTTTTTTTTTTTTTTTTTTTTTTTGGTACTGGGGATTGAACTCAGGATTTGGTGTTTGCAAGGTAGGCGCCATGCCACTGAGCTAAATCCCAGGCCCCTTATATTTAATACTTACATTAAAAAACTACATGTAGAAGGTTAAAAACAGAATAATCCTTACATTTAGATTGAGGTGTTTTTTCCTCAATGATTTTTTAAATTCTACCCAACTTTATTCTTTGTATTTTTTGAGTACTTTTGACTGGAGAGAAATGCCAACTTTGGAATAGTTATGGGCATTTGCTTTGGAAAAATAAGTGGGTCAGTCACTGTTAAAACAGTATATATGAGTAGGAAGCCCAAAACATGGCATGCAGTTCTTAAATCCACTTTCTAGTGCTGCTTCCCTGCCTTATGCCTTTGGCCACGTCTTTTCACCTATGTGCTGCTTGGCTGACATTGAGAAAGAACACTGGGCTTTGCTGGGTCCTTTGGAAAAATGTCTTTGGACTCCTGGCTAAGACTTTCTTTATTCTGGTCTGGCTTCAGACTTGCTCTTCAAGCTTGAAGAAAGGCTTAGAACTTCTGCTTACACCTCTTTCCCCGTCCAGTTAGATGGCTTACTCATGGTTCATGGTTTGCCCTGTCATTGTCACCACCAAGAAACAGTGCATTTGACCAAAACTCTGCTCCTGAGACCCACTGGCGGACATGCTCTCACACCAGTTGGATTTCTTGTCTCAAAAGCAACTCAGAAGAGCCTCCTTCTTATCTCTGGAAGTGGATTCAGCTAACTGGGGAGTAAGCAGCTCTCCATTAGTTGTCAGAAATCCATTAACAGGAAGATGATTATTCTGACCTTACCAGCACTCCCCACACTTGAGCATGCATCCATCTTCCTAAACCCAGACTCCTGCCCTGCTTTATGTTCCTGTAGATGTAGGGTGGTAGTGCTCTGGCTGTTCCTGCAGCACCACACTCTTAGTGTTTACTACACAATCTGGCTCAGTGGCTCTGCTAGGGTCATGGGGAGCCATGATGAATCAGAATCACGTAGAGAAAGTTTCAAAAATGTATAGACCAGGGGCCAGGGATTTGGCTCCGTGGTTCCACTGCCTGCCTTGCAAGCACAAGGGCCCGAGTTTAATCCCCAGTACCAAAAAATAAACAAACAAAAGCATACAGACCAGCCTCACTCTCCTACATACTAAATACATGTGTGTTTCCTGGGATCAGGACCTGAGAAAGAGATGGGAACTCCTTACAGAGGCAACTGACTTGATCTCCTGTCTGTGCTCCACTCCCTGGCACTGATTATTAGCTTGGCTTAGCAAGAGAGGAATTGTCAGAAGAGAAAACATCAATGCTCACTACTCGCTACACTCAAGCAGCCCTGGGGTCAAGGAGAGTTTCTGATAGTTTAGTTTATAAACTTTAGATCATCTGTCTAGGGCAACAGCTTGCAAGATTCAGGCCAAGTTGAGTAGAGGGCAAAATGTAAAGGCTACCAAAACCCTCAGTAATCAAGACAATCAATATTTTGATGCAATACATTTTAAACATGAAATTTAATTCAAAAGTATTTATGATGAATAAAATATCAAAATTTTAAATAAAGATAGAACCAATATTATGACTTTGTTTCAGCTGCAGGTGTGAAGTACTGGTCCTTTACTTAAAAGTTTGGTATTTTGGGGCCAGGAATTTAGCTCAGCAGTTTGGTGGCCTGTCTTGCAAGCACAAGGACCCGAGTTCAATCCCCAGTTTTTTTGGTGTTTTGCTTATAATATATCATTTTTCATTCAAATTTTATTTTTTAAAATATTGTATTAAAACATTACCTTAACATTACTAAGGGTTTTTGGGGTTAGCCCCTTAAATTTTTTGTTACTTTAGTCTATTTCAAGCTTTCTTATGTCTGGCTAAATTTCAGAATCATCTAGAGTTTTTAAAATCATAGATATCTGGGGCTGTCTATTCTTATTTGATTCGTCAGAAAGTGAAGCCCCAGCTTTGCTATTTACAATGACCTATGACAACAAAATTCATTGTCTAGAGATGAGAAACCAGTATGGCATGTGCTGGTCCAGGCCTTCTGTGAGAGGGTCAGGAGACAATATAAATGGGGCACAAGTAACTTGCCAAGGTTCAGAAAGGTGACAGCATCAGGAAACTACAGCAGCAAAAAGCACTGACGCAGACTGGTTTCTAGGAGAAGTTGTTTAGAACGATGCAGGTTTGAGGCACTCTGAATGTGGTGCAGTGTATCAAATTATGATTCAGACACTAAAACCATGGTAAAATATAGTTACTGGAATTGCAGTGCAAGGTTGGGATTCTAAAGATGGAAAATGTCAGTGCAGAATTTAATGATGAGTCACTGGGATACTAATGAAAGGATCTTTAAATCTTCTCTGTTCAGGTACAGGCTTCATTACAGACCCTGGAGGAGAAGGCACCTGGCAAACTTTATAGGAAAAATGTCAAAATCTATCTTTGCTGAAATTTAGATGCTAGCCAGAGAAAATTGACTGGCTTTTCATCAATAAATAAAAATATTCTATCTAT